ACTGAGAGTTCATGGAAGTGCAGACAGCTGAGGCGCAGTTATCAGGCTTGGGCACTAATAGTGGTATAACAAGCGCAGTTACAACACAGAAGCCTGGATTTACTGATTTGCTACTGAGGAGTATATTGTTTTTGCGACGGACATTCTGTCGCGGTTTTCCGTGTCGATGTTCGTATCGGAGGCAAAACCTTAACGACGTGTATTTGAAAAGGTGCCTCGTAGTCTGAGGGAAACAGACACTCACATGTCATCCGCGGAAGACGCAGTCAGTGTGCGGGATGAGGAGGGTCTGTTGAATATCGTACACGATAACCCACGAACCAGAACTCGCCACAAATATTCAGCAACAGGATGATTTTCTTGCGGCTTCGGCACTGCAGTGCCCCTCCCCGATTTGCACCTTATTAGCTTGACAGCTTTCCGGACAGATCTGACCCCGTCAAAACTATTTGCGGGGATGCACACAGACGTTCAGCATCACGACGATGTGATTACTCGCATTGAGGTGGCTGCTGCAGACATCGTACCTGGACAATTACTAGTTTGTCAGGGGCTCGACTCAACGTCGGTGAGGCATGTGTTGAGGCTGGGGGAGTACGCTTCGAGCATCTGTTGCGATTACATAAATACGAGGTGCTATCGGAAAGTTTAAAGACTGTGTCAATAGAGGGCTAACCGGATGTAGTACGAGCTTCTGCCGCTAGGGGGTGCGGCCTACATTCATAGTGAATCAGTGTGCCAGCCGTCATCATCGAATTAGCATTTGTTTCTTAGTTACGGGCGTTTTGGTAGTGCATTACACCGACCCTCCTGCGATTTCGGAATGGCGTGTGCATCAAATTTTGCCAAAGACTCGCCAAAACGGCTACAGAAACCTATGAAATGCTAAAGCAAGCATTTGGGGAGTCCGCAATGGGTAGTTCACAAACTTTTATGTGGCATTCATGTTTTAAAAATGGCCGAACCTCTGTCGATGAGGACGAGCGTTCTGGACGACCATCTTCGAGCACAACGCCCGAAAATG